ATCTGCCATGAGTGCCAAACCCTCGAGCTTGAGACGAGAGATGTAAGCCTGGAGAAGAACATTAATCTTGGCTTGAGGCTCTTCCACACCCTCCTTGACAGGAATGGGAACTTTTCCAAGTAGCTTAGCAAGCTCCAACTTCTCGTCTTGACGAACAGGGATGTACTTGAACTCCTCGCTAAGCGCAAACACTCGGAAAAGCTCAATGGCGCTGATACCAGGCTGAACGTGCATGTTGTAAGTCGCCATGGAGTTGTGTGTGATGTAGTAGTGAGAGGCAATTCTTCCGAGTTCGGTAGGGTTGAGGGCTCCGGTCTTCCTGTCGTACTTGATAAGACTGCACTTTTCAAGGACATGAGCAGCGGCGTGAATTAGATCCACTCGTCTTTGCTCCAAAACCGTATCATTCTCGTACTCGGGGCCTACCCGGTACAAAGCTGGCGACCGAAGCATTCGAACAAACAGGTATGTGTAGCCAAGCCAGTCCACAGCTTCGTCTCTGCTCCGGACATTGCCTAAGACAATCTCGGCATTGAGGTTGTCTGCGAGCTTACTGATGAGTTGTGACTCGATAGGCAACTGCTGGTTGAGCAGTGATAGGTAGTACTGAATCTCAGACTGCGTAGTGATGATAATACCCTCTCCATACGTGTCGTATTGAGGCCTACCAGCACGACCAAGCATTTGCAGAACGTCTTGTGGACTAAGTTCAACCCAGCTACCCTTCTCGGGAGAGTAGATCTGTGTTCCCTTGATGATGACTGTATGCGCTGGCAAGTTGACACCCCAAGCCAAGGTTGCTGTACACACCAAGACTTGGATTGAACCATCAGCAAAGAGATCTTCTACAGAGGTACGGTCCGCTCGCGACATTCCAGCGTGATGGATACCAAATCCGTAGGGCATGACGTCCTTGAGATCGGCATTCTGTATCGACTCGGACTCCTCCCTCAGAATTTCACGACTGGCAGCGTCTGATCGGAGAATCTTGCCTATAGTCTCCTCTTCAAGAGCCTTGTCACGAATGTACTTGGCAGTCTTTGCAGTTTCCTTTCGCGAGTGTACAAAGATAAGCATCTGGTTGCGGTGCTCGCCAACTTGTTCGAGAACTTTAGTGTAGCAGACATCGTTCATGGTCTTCAGCTGCTTGATAGCCTTCTTGTCTGTAACACCGATGAACTCTTGCTTCAGGGGACACGGCCTGAAAGTACCGTCGAAATGGAACAGTCCCTTGTCGGGGTCTACACGAAGGAAACTTGCAACATCGCGGTAGTTGGGAAGAGTAGCACTCAAACCTACAATGCGTACGTGATCACCAGTCTGCTCGCTACGTCGAAGGGTTCTGCTGACAATGCTCTCAATGACTGGACCACGATCATCGTGAAGAAGATGGATTTCATCAATACAGATGAGGCGGACGAGATTAATGTAGCTTGTGTCGGTGGCCTTACGGGTAATGACATCGTACTTCTCAGGAGTGGTGACAATGATCTGGGTCTCTGCGATTTGCTGCTTGGTAAGTTGACGGTCACCAGTAAGCTCAGACACCTTGATACCATACGGCTCGAGACGCTTGCCAAAGTTACCGACCTGTTCCGCAACCAAAGCCTTGAGCGGAGCAATGTAGATGATCTTGAAATCGTCAAGGGCGATTTCTCCTGTCGTGGGGTTACGGTGTTTGCCAATCTCTCGCAACATGGTCAACATGGCAACGTTGGTCTTTCCGGAACCAGTGGGAGCGCAAATCAGCATGTTGCCATCGTCATTGAAGGCGGTCGGGAAACACTTTGTCTGGATACGGTTAAGTGACTTCGAGTTGCCGAAACCAGGGCGCGCCCAGTCTGGGAGTTCGGAGGTTGGCATAAGTGGAGGTTCGTTCGGATCGCGCTTCGCCTTTGGTGCAGGGACGTGAATCTCTTCATATCCCTTGAACTGACGTCTTGTTGATCCTTGAGGCAACTTAACGCTCGCATTCGTCATGAGATGGTTACCTTGATCAAACACGATGTTGTCCAAGTTGACAAGTCGACTTGATGGCTGTAGGCCGCCAACAATGCCCTCTGGTTTGGCGTCGGCCATTTCGACGTCGTTTGACGCCTCAGGAAGACTGATATCTTTGAGGTTGAACTTCATCTTTCCTGTGCCAGCACCCTCTTCTGCCTTGATGCCCGTTTCTCGTGCGCGCAACTCTTGCAGGATTTGTTGCTGGCCGGCAGCCTTCATCTCCCGCTCAACAGCCGTTCGCTCGTCATTGTCTTCCGCAGCGCGTCGCCACCTTGTAACCCAAACGACCCTGTCACGGTTGAGAACAAGCTTGGCGACCAACTCGTGATGTTCATAATCAAAGAGATCCATGAGGTCGTTTTCAATCTCACGCAGCTCCTTCTCTTCACCGTCTTCCGAGACTCCCGCAAGGAACTTGAGTGCTTCCTGCGTCTTCTCTTGCTGTATATGCGCATCCTCGTAAATCTGTCCAATCTGCCGTTGTAACCAGTATGCGTCGATCTCGTGTGCGGGAATGAGCTGGTCTGCGCCGTTTTTGCGATCCGAAGTGGCCGCATCGCCTTGTATTATCGTCTCCTCCGTATCCGCAAAACCTGCGTCCTTTGCATCGTCGCCTCCGATTTGTTCTATCGGCGCCTCTGCCTCATCCTCTTCATCTGAACTGTCGGCATCACGAATTTCAAAAGTCTGAGGGCCGTCCTCGTCCTCCTCTTCATCATCGAAGACGACAGCTACACCCTGATTATCGCCATTATCTGCGCCATCTCCATCCGCCATCTCCTCATCGCCTCCTTCCTCGTCGTCTTGCGCGTCGTAATCCGTAATCTTTTTGCCGAGGTTCACCAGCTCGTTGAACTCCTTTGCACCCATAGAAGTACCCAAGAGATCATCCACCTCCTTCTTCTTGTCAAAGTCCTTCATCGAATCATCCTTAAGGTATTCCAGAACTTGATCGGCCGCACTTCGCGTGGTCGCAGGGTCGACATCGCCGAGAGCTCTGCTCACAATGGTTGTAATAAGTTCAAAAGTCTGGCGAGTAGCAGGTGTCCGCGGCTTGTATGTAAGGCCTTCAATATTCAGGTCGGCGGTAGCAATAGCCCCAAAGGCGCTTGTGCCATCATCCCGTTTCCTCTTGCGTTGCTCTCTTTCCAGGACATCGCCACCTTCCCCAAGATTGCCTCGCTCGACACCGGGCCCCTTGAGCTTCTTAGTTTGCGCACTTGCACTGTCACGCGCAGTACGCGCGCCCATGTCGCGGATGTTGATGCGGCCTGCGAGCGACTCGGGGTCACCAGTGTGCTCGTCCGGTCGGCGCGACGTAAATCGTCTGTCGGCCTGCAGGACCAAATTCGACATGGCCGCATATTTGAACTGCGCGAGGTTGTTTTGATCTTTCGACATGGTGGCGGTGGGTATCGTAGTATTGCGCGGCTTGCGCTTTTGGTATCGTCTTCTCGAGCTGTCTACACGCGAGATATAATAAAATACACGACGAAAGAACGAGTCGCCGTCCTGTCAAGATCAAACGAAAGAAAAGAGTTGTCCGATTGAGTGTGGTCGGGCTATGGACACGCCCTTGTGGTGGATGTAAGTGAGCGGCGGCGGAATCTCGAAAAGTTTAATGATGGAGCTTCGAAAGGCTGCAGCCAGCACGTGACACCGCATCACCTCCGCTATCACTAGTGAGCCTATGGTTCTTGAATGTCACACGCGCACGTTTTTCAGCCAGAGAGAATTCATGTCCTCTCTTTACACGTATTGAGCGACGAGCGGATTTGCTCACACAAGCTGACGTTTCTCTTAGACAATGGTGCTATCATTGATTCCATAGTTACTACATCTACAGTTTGGTTTGTCCCGGCTCACGAGACCTATACCTTTCATATTCTGCATCTACAATCTCTCACCAATCAACTCCAATACACATGCTGAAATGCACATCTTGTACGCCTTTCAAATATCGCTTCTTGTCTCTCTACACCTTCACTTCGTACCCAAAGTATTCAAGCTCCCTCAGCCTTCTTCTTCTTCTTATCCTCGACCAATTCCACATTGTCCTCCGGCACCTCGTCATACTTCTCCACCAAGAACTCAAGTATATCCTCACTCAAATCTCCCTGTACTGTGATTTCCTCGCCGCCACCGGGAATCTTGGTCACACTTGATCCGGTCGCGAATTTCTTGCCAAAGTCCTTGGCCACCTTCTTGATGTCGAGACCGAATGCTTCAAGTCCTTGGACAGCAGTCACGTATTTTCGCTTGTTACGCTCGATACGCTTGATGAGAATCTTGGAGGATGCACGTGTCTCGGCTGCTCGTGCTTCAGCGGTCGCGGCTTTGGCGGCTTTCTTCTGTGCATCCTTTTCCGCGCGTTTTTGGGCGTCGACAGAGAGCGAGGCCATGTTCTGCTGTAGTGCCTCTGGGGGAAGTGTTAGATGACTTCTCGTCCTACATTTCATTGCGCCAGCTAAGCGCACCCCAGAAGTTGAGTAGTACATACCTGCCGAATACAACTTGGCGTGAAGGTCTGGATGCGCTTCCGCAAGCCATTCCTCACACTTCTTTGTTGTGCCGCCAAACTCGCAGTACTAAATAGGGTTCAGATTACTATTAAGTTCGGTGTCGACGCGTCTCAGTGTCATACCTACTTCAGGTGGTAGACTGCACACTGCTTCTCGTTAGTAGATGATTAGGGAAGCTACCCGCAGCAATATCTACATACCTCCGCAGTAAATGACCTGTTTTGGTACTGTATCGTCAGACATGGTGAGTGTGCCAACAGATTAACTGTCGGTTATATTATGCGCTGACAATGTATCTGGTTGGGTGCAGAGAGTATCGGGGTTGACGCGAAGTAGAGAGCTTGGTGGGGCAGAGCAAGCGTGGCGGGGTACGTATGAGAAGTTGGGCAAGGGTCCGTGGACGTGCTTGACACTTTCACCCAAAACCTTTTGTACTATGGTGTATATTTCTTTTTTGAAACTACGACCGTCTATCTACGAATACATTGGCGGATTCATAGTGTTCTCCAGAATATAGATCTTTGGCTGCATCCATATCATGGGCCAGTAACCCCTCAACAAACTATTTCTCAACCGCCCTTCCAATCGTTCCCATTCTGCTCCAACTTTAGAAGTCCAGTCATCTTGCCCATCAACAATTGGTCCGCTCCCCTCGTATAGAGATCCGAATTCCGATTTACTCTCCTCCCCTGGCTTCAAAAGCCTGACTCCACCGAAGCCGTATACCACATGTACAATATTCCAAGCTCCAATTATCCTCTCCGGCTTCTCAGTAAGAACATAATCAAATTTTGTCCAGAACATCGGGTCCAAGAGTGCACTCGGGTCCTCAGTCTTGTCATAGGCCCATGTCCGGCTTTGCATGGTATTTTGTTCTTCAAGAACATCGAGTACTGTCTGTGGGCCTCTGTGGTTCTCCAGGAAACGTGTGACGCCTGTCTGACAAGCAAGATTGTCAAAGTATACGTTGAAGTGTTTATCGTGCGGGTGATTCATTCGTTTGTGAAAATCGTGCAGAGCCTGTCCCCCAGGGTAATTGAGACTAGAAATACCCAAAATAGCTGTGGATGCAGCAAACGAGACCAACACCGACCCTACAAGAGCCAAGCTGAAAACAGCATATATGATAGACTTGGATCGTCGTGTCCAAATCCAAGCTGCTCCATCCGCAGCTACTGCAGTCAATCCTGGAATTACGTAAAGAATGAAACGCCATTCTTTGTGAGGAAGAAAGCTGTATATTGCCACAAAGCTGAGTAGAGGAATGAGTAGATCAAGACTTCGTCTTTGGCTTGCCGGATTCGAAACAGCAATCGGTATGCAGACCAGGTAGGTTATAGGGTTAAGCATTAGTCGCGGCAGTGCATTTACAAAGTAGAAATACCATGGCGAGACACCCCAATTAGCTGAGTTTCCTTGGATAGTGTTGTAGTAGAAACCTGTCCACTCAGGCCATAGGGGAAAGGTCTGCCAGAAGAAAGAATCCAGAGGTACTGTGCAGATAAGACCGACGATGAGACCTCCAATGCCGGCTGGAATAATGACGCTGATGATCGATATCTTGCGCGTGAGAAACAGATACACAGTGACAGTGGCGACCAGGATAGCTAGTTCAGACCGGAACACAACTCCAGCAATAGTGAGCAGATAAAAGCTCAACCGGTAGTGTCCCGAGACACTCGAAGAAGTACTTGGCGAATTGTACGCAAGAACTAGACTTCGCAATGCCATATTGCCTGTAACCATAAGCCAACAACCACTTGAACAAGCATACCATAAACCTACTAAAGATGAACGCAAACATATTCGGCAGCGTCCTCGAAGCATAATAAACAGCATGAAACTGACTTGCCTGAAACAACGTATACCAAACCGCCGCCGTAGTCCCAAAAGCTCTCTGCACACTCCTCCCAAACGCAATTAGCGCTGCCGCATTCAGCAGTCCCAGCACCGCCCTAACTACCACACCTCACCGTCAGCCTTCCCCCTTTTTACAACCCCAAACACAAAGATTTTTTTGAAGTTAACTCACCAAGCATCTGCACATACTCTCCATCCTCGACAAACCCCACAAACGGCCTACTCAACCCGCTCAACACCGTCGCACCCGCAAACGTCCTGGGCACGCTCCCCGGAAAAGAAACATGGTCGTAATTCGCACTTAAGAACTGGTCGACATTATCCGTCGGGATACCGTGCACGAGGATGTCATGAACGGCCTGGATATTAAACGACTCTTCGACTTTTGTGTACGGCGATGCGTAGAGGTGTATCAGGATTACTGTTGGGATGAGCAGGAAAAAAGGCCACGTAGAGGCCATTGCATCCGGGGTTTGCGCAATTGCGCCCGTTCAAAACTATCTGCTTCGGAATCCAGGATTTCCAGATAGAAGGCGGTGAGATGCTGCGTATCGATGGGCGGTCTAAAAGTTTCGTTGGGCGCGATGAAGCAAGTATGCATCTCGCCTCTTTGGAAGGGGTCGCCAATCACGTGCTTTCGCGATCCAACCCTGTTACTTACACGAAACCCTCTCTAAGCGTAACTTTCGTAAACACAACTCCTTTATCCGCCCATTTCCGAGCTTAAATTTCCCCATCTTTCCATCCTGGGTTTTCTTCCCCGTCGGATGTTGTATCTAAGATGGAGTTTACCCAACTCGCGGTACCCTCGGTCTATGCGTTGATATTGTTTCTCGGGTACCCCTCGCAGTACCTGCTGATGCAGCTGGAGCCTGCGCCATTGAGCAAGAATGAGATTATTGCGGCGAATGCTATTTTAGTCCTTATTTTTATCACGTATACGCAGAGCGTGTTTGTGTATCCTGGGACGATACCGAAGGATTGGAATGTTGGGGGTGCGGTGAAGGCGGAGGGTAAGGAGGGAACGGGGAATGAAGCGGAAGATTTGGTGGGGAAGAGTAGGAAGTGGTGTTTTCGGTGTGAGGCTGCGAAGCCGCCGAGGGCACATCACTGTAAGGAGTGTAAGAGGTAGGTCGGATTTTCATATGTCCGTGTTTGTTTTGAGAAAGATATCGAGGCAAAGGCGTAATGGCTATTTCGCCTCTGAACCACCAAGTCATGAAAGAGTCAATGGACTTTCAGTGTAACATGGAATCCACTTCTCACAAACATCACCCCAATATTACCAATGGCAAAGCTAACCACCCCCCCAGATGCATCCCCAAAATGGACCACCACTGCCCCTGGACCAACAACTGCGTCAGCCATACCACCTTCCCCCACTTCATCCGCTTCCTCTTCTACACCACCGCCGGTCTCTCCCTCCTTGAATCCTTCATCTTCACCCGCCTCGCCTACCTCTGGTCCAACCTAGACATGCCCTCCTCCATGGGCCCCACCCCCTTCCAACTCGCCCACCTCTTCACCATCCTCTTCGTAAACAGCCTCACCCTCTTCACCCTCGGCGTCCTCTTCCTCCGCAACATCTGGTGCCTAGCCGTCAACACCACCACCATCGAAAGCTGGGAAATTGAACGCCACAGAACGCTGTTGCGCCGCGCCCGCCAGTACGGAGGCTACCTCCCCTCGCCCGACGGGACGCAGCAGATCCGCATCCGCAAACAGGAATTTCCCTACGACATTGGCATCTGGGCGAACATCGTGCAAGGCATGAACTCCGCAAATCCAATCGCGTGGTTGAATCCGTTTGGCGCAACGCCCAGTCTAGCCAGCGGCCTGGCGTTTGAGACGAATGGCTTCGAGGACCCGGGTACGGTGTGGCCGCCGCCAGACCCGGATCGCGCGTACAGGAGGAATGCCAAGGCGGCGAATGTGGGTGCGTTTCAGTTTGCGGACGCGCCGGAGATGAGCGCTGAGGAGACGATTAAGGCGTTCAAGGCGAGGCAGGCGGAGGATGCGTTGAGGAGGAGGGGCCTTGGGGGACGGGCGCAGCAAAGGGGGGTGGAGGATGAAGTAGAATACGGCAACAGTCGTGATGATGATGATGATGATGATGATGATGATGGAGGGTATACGTATGGAGACAATGCTAGTGATGATGCTGAGGAAGAAGAGGAAGAGGCTGAGAAGAAGTACGGCGAAAAGGGACTGGAAGGAGAGGCTGCATGGCGGAATGCCGAGGGTGAGAGGTTAAAGGACTTTGGCGTGGATGAGGATGTGGAGTTTTACGATGAGCAGGAAGACGACATACCGTTAAGTCAACTGATAGCTCGAAGGCAAGGTGCGTCGACATCAGGGTATAGCCGTCCGTAGGATTCCTCCTACTACAATGATATCACAGTCAGCACTCAAGTGGCTGTAGCATTGGCACAGCGATTTTCAATATGTTTGATTCCCAGTCGCATAACGAATGTCGGTCGGCCCGTGTGAGCAAAAGATAAAATCTAGACCAATAGTAATCCAGCATGTAAGAAGACAAAAGGTATCCAAATAGTCCACGTGTGCCCTTCTCTGCCCATCCTGTCTGTACAGAGTCCTGGGGCAAGACCTCAAGGTGACGTCTTGTCGACACAACAAGTATTCTGTTCACAAGCATTATAACCCCACAACAGATGCTCTGGCAGTCTGAACAATCTGATCCCAACAACCATGTTCTCAATTCCATCTCTTCATGAATTCTTGGCAAGTAACTTGTTCGTAAGTTGCTCGTTATCCGGTGATCTTGCAGCTTTTCCCATGTCTTTCCTGGACGATGGCTTTCTCTTCTTCCATCTTTTGCACTGCGATCACCAGAGCTCGGCACAACTAGTACTCTGTTCCGTTTCCATTGTGGACGGGATAGCCAAAGGCAGTCGAGTCGTCGCCCATTTCGGAATCGCCGCTCAGTACATGCTGTTGGTTCTCTGACCCGCCTGCGTTGGGCCCGCCGGACCCGGCTGCAAACTGCCCAGTGGGTGGCTTGTTCTGATTTGCGAGGAGGGTCTCGTACCACCAATCAATACCAATAGTTCAGATAAACGTTTTCGCCAAACAATAGGCAACAAAAGAAGAGTGAGAGGGGTGGAAGGAAAAAGGGGTAGCTTACTTCGCGGTACCTGGAAAGGTAGATTTTGAGAGCTTCGGAGTAGTTTTCGAAGCCAAGGGAGGTCATGGCGAAGAGAATATCCTCGCCATTGACTGTCTTGCGCTTCTCCTGCTGACACTTTTCGGAGGCTACAAACATGATTAGTAACTGGTTCTTGGGGGTGGTTCAAATCGGAAACAAATAGACTTACCCTCGCTTGTGATGAAGGAAATGAACTCGCTGACACATTCCTGCATGCATTCCTTTGCCTCCTTTGCGATTTTGGCGTTTTCGGGAAGAGCCATCTTCATGATACGGGCGACTGGAGCAAAGTTGCGAATGTTAGCATCTGAAGCGGCACTTTGGGTTGTGTTTGCATTCTTTGGCGTTGCTTGTGGCGGGGACGTCGACGAGGGTGGAGAAGACGACGACATGGCGCAGGCTGCACGTCGGCCAAATTCCAGGCACAGCGCGCAGCTGAGTGGCTGGAGCAAAGTGCAGATTTAGGCGATTCGACGCAGGCACGCGCGAATGGAGAGAGAGTCTGGGGACATGCAGAGAGCGATTGCGCGCGTTTGAGCAATCTGTCGCGACGTGCAGACCAGAGAAGTGACGGGCGCGCAAACATGGCCGGCGGCGGGGAAAAAAAGGGCATTGGGGAAATGGACGTACCATTGGCGATAGGAAGCCATCGGTCTTGTTCCTTAACTTCGAACTCGTAACCTATCTGGGCTGTGTTCTCTTCTGTGTTCCGGTCCATGGGCTGTTCTTCGTCAGGCGACTGGACTGGTTCCACGCCCTCCTGCTTTGGGGGAGAGGCCGACATATTAGCGGTTGCGCGGTCGGCAAGCGTGTGCGCTGGCGACTATTTCGTTGGCGACCACGTCACTGGGAGAGACGATGGGGCGAGTTGGCGGCCGAGTATGCAGGCTGGGGGGTCACTGGTGTAACGAGGGTGGTGAGCAAGGGAGACGGTTAGTGGCATGCAGCAGATGCAGGCTCAGGTAGCTTGGGAGCTTGGAGGCTGGGAAGGTGCCGCTGCTGCTGCTGACGACGTACTACGACGGTGGCGGCGACCGAGTGGAGAGGCTCGACGGCACGCGAACTGCTTGGAGTCAGTCAGTCAGTCGGTCGGTCATCAGTCAGCCATCAACAACAACAACAACAACTAGACGAGGAAGGCGCGACGGGCCATGGGCAACGGGCCAGGCAGGTGCGACCCAGATGGGCTGGTCGCTCCTTCTCCTTCTGGTTCTCTCTATCCCTCACATGGACACGCACGCAGGCAGACAGACACGGGCTGACTTACACGTAGAGCGAGGGGCGACAAGAGAGACGGCGGAGTCGTGTGTATGCCCTGCGGCGGCGGCCTGATAGTCGGTGCGACGATGGCGGTCCGCCGTGGCGATGGATTAGCGGTGGGACGGGATGCAAGCAGTCGCTGGGGGAGAAGGTCCAGTTGGAGCAAAGGGCCGTGATTCGGGTCGAGTCAATGGATTCCGGGAGCTGTACGCCTTGGTCGCGAATGGAGGTGAGAAGCAGCTGGGGACGCGCCTGCCAATAGGAGCGCGAGGAGATGATATGGGGATGCGAAGCTCTGAGCGCCCGAGATGGGGCGGCGGCGGCCAAGCTTGGACGTTGGCCGGAGTAGCGTGCGGAAAGACGGTGCGGAGAGACGGTGCGGTGCGGTGCATTGCCATTGCCATCACTATGTCATGCTACTGCTGCTAAGTACTACTGCTACTACTACTACTACTACTACTACTCCCGCCATCATCAATGCGCCTGCGCCTGCGCCCACCATCCTCGGCCCGCCCCGAGCCACTCTTTCACCTCCATCGCTTGTCTCCAACTGCCTCTGCCTCACTCGGCTTCATCCCGACCCCGCCTCGGTCCAGTCAATGCCCTCGGGCTACTGCCGGCAAACCTCGCCATCACCATCACCATGCCGTCCACCGGCCTGTCGTCAGAAGCACACCTGCAACACCCAGGCGCTAGTCGGCGATCCTCTATGCAAGCCATGCCACCACCTTTTATTCGACAGCCCTACGCTATCCCACGTTGCAAGTCCCTCTTTTTCCCCATTCGAGATGCCCAGACTCCACTATGCTCTTCTCTCTCTACCCGAATGCAAACATGCTCTTGTCACTAGGACACAAATTAGACGACTATCCTCTCCCACGCACGCACACACATACTTACACCACCACGCCAAGTCTACTCCACCCCTAGTATTGCTTTTCCCATCATCACACCTTATCCTCAGCGTAATCCCAGCCACATGCTGCCGGCAATCCCTCAATCTCTCTTGTTGGGCTCGGTTGCATGTAAGTACAGCCTTGCTATCAGCTTCACTATTACCCAGCGCTAGATGACGTCCCCTCCCTAGCCGCAAACGGCTTCTGAACCTCACCGTTCGCCTTCTCCTTGCAGCCAGTTTTGCCGGTACCCTATGAGCTACGTGTCCACGGTCATGGTACCATGGTCGTAGATCGGTGCGTCAGCTCGACTGAAAGCCAACTCGACAGCTCATCGTGCAGAAGGCCCGCCTAGAGTGGGGAGCACGTGCTGGTCGGCTGCAAACTCGGCCTCCAAGCCCACGCTCCCTCTTTCTTCGGTAATTTCCCATTCGTCATATCATGCCTACATACATACAACCAGTGGGTAGTCCATGTGGTATGTGGGGGCACACACGACCATCGATGTCGTCGACCATTGCACTGCCTAGCCATGCTGTGCCTGGCTACCCCCCCTCCATTACATTTCAAATTTCACACACACACACACACATCGTTGCCGAAGCTATAGTACGGGGGTTATTTACATATACCCTCCTTCATGGGTACTGCCTGGATTGCTGTGGAGAAAGCTATGCTGTCATATCGTGACATGCTGTACTAACATCTCATCATCTCGTCACTCCCTACACACTACGGCCTTGCTGTCCGATCCGGAACACTTTTCATTCTTCCGTCATGGCCTGTCTGCGTCTGTTCTGACTCTGGTGGCCGAGATTCTGCCGCCTTGATGCTGGCAGTATTCCATGTGGAACCAAGCATACGTCGTGTACCCTCCCTGTCAAAGGGGTGCCGCATGGTCCGGACACCAGTCTACTGCCCAGGCTGCTGAACAACTTGAATGTTGTTCTTCTTCTGTAGTGGCAAAGTCAGCTGTCCGTTCCCAACCCCAGACCATAGTCTCAGTCGTCATATGCAACTCTCCTTCTCACACCACAGACACACGTACCTTCCACTTTTCCATCTCATCCTGCTTTAACTTGTACTGCTTCACTAGCTCTTCTAGCGCCTTCTTCAGGCCCTCCGAGTTAGTCTGCAGAATAGGCACTACCTCCTTAACCGTCCGCTCAGTCAATACGCCGTTGATCATGCGGAAGCATTTCCGGTCCCCCGAAAGCGGCTGCAGCGTCTCAAGCACAAGTCTAGTATACATCAGTTAATGATTCTCCTTGACTACATGACACAACCCAGGCATCGTGCTCTTTGCGTAAAGAGTAGATAATATCCTCAAAGGAGGGGGTGTTGGAGTCGCCGAACCACCGAAGAAGCGGTGTGATTGGGAAGGGGCAGGTGACTGAAGTTCGAGCACGCTATGCAAATCGTGGAAAACTTACTTGTGCTCTTCGGATTCTTGCTCGATATCCCCGATTTTGGAGGCAATGGTCTGTAGCGTGTTTTTGTAATTCTGGTACGTTGTTTGAAGCTCTGCCTTCGCATCAGCTTACATGAAATCACATTTCGGAAATTGAGAGTGTAAGGTATACCTTGTTGCTTCTTCAGCTGTGCTTGAGACGCCATGGCGAACGTGGGGTGGCGGGTGAGAGAGACGCCCACTCTGGGTTGCGGGGAACTCGGGAGAAAGAAAGAGAGAAAAAAGATCGTGCAATGGCCAATGCAGTGCACTCAGAGCTCACGCGGATGGAAATTCTACTCGCAGATGGATACGCTAAATCTGCGTATGGCTAATCTGTTCCGCGAGAATTAAGCAAAAGCGTTGTTGATCGAAACCGACGTTGCGAGCGCAAAGGCCGAAGAAAGACGCGCTCGGACGTACGGTGTTAAACGTTAGGGTACTTACGCTGAGATCTCATGCGATTCGTCCAAGAAACCAGAGATCGGATTGGTTCCAACTACACTCTCGACCAACCTCCACTCCTCACCACTTGCGCCCAAACAGTACACCCACCTCCACACTCCTCTTTCTCCTTGCGCAGACCCCAATTCCATCGAGCCTAACAATGCACCCCCACCTCCACACAGAAGAAGTCCAAAAAAGTAAACTTGCCCCTCCCGCTCCTCCCCTCCCTCTCTCCTTCTCCCCAACACACACACCCGAAGCTAACCCCCAACGCAACCCAGACTGCGCCGACGTCGTCGCAGCCCTCGAAGAATGCCACGCCCACGGCTTCCTCTGGAAAGTAACGGGCAACTGCACCGACGCCAAGCACAAAGTCAACATGTGTCTGCGCGGCATCCGGCTTGAGCGCACGCGCCTGAATCGCGAGGCAGCCAAAGAAAAGAGGGAGAGGATCCAGAAGGTGTGGAGGGAGTTGGATGAGAATAAATGAGTGCGGTGTGAGCGTAGCGAGCGTATCGAGAGAATACGAAAAGAGAAAGGGAGGGGAAGGGGGCGGGGTGTAAGAATAACGGATGAGGAGATTGGAAGGTATTTGATCTGTATATATATGGGATGGTTGATTTGGGGCGTCATGGAGTATTGCCAATATAAAAGGAGGGAGGGAGAGAGGAAATAAATGTACGAATTACAACGACCTGGAAAGAAGGTCCACTTCTTTTTATTTCAATTCAAGAAAAAAACAATATATAAACACACTCTACTCAATCTGAATCCTCACTTGATCTATTCGCCAGTGGTGTGCCAGCCAAGGGTGTACCGCCTAGTGGTGTAGTGCCCAGACTATCTAGGCCTCGTTCTGTGATCATCCTGCTACCTCCTCCTGCTTCCAGAGTATTAGTGGGTAAGGCCGGTAACCCGGATTCCTGGCGGAGTTTCTCGTATTCCTCGCCGGTTTTTTGGAGTTGTTCCTGGAGATACTTTTTGCGTTCTTCAATGCGTACTTTGTCGTCTTTGAGATCTTGCATTTTCTGGAGAAGCAGTGCTTTTCGCTGTTTCCGGGCTTCGATGTCGATGGTGAGGCCTTGGAGGATGTCGTCGAGATCTGGGAGAGGTGTGATGCGAGGAGGTGTCCTAGTGCCGTCGTCGTCTTCGTCTACTTTTTGGCCGTAACGACCCGCGCGGGCTTGGGCTGCGGCGAATGCGAAGTTGCGATCTTCGTCGGAGTCGCCAGAGCCGTCGTCTCCTGAGGAGCCCTCTGCGTCGTTGATGAGTTCGGCCATTTCGGCGCGGCGTCGTCGCTGGGCTTCTTTTTCGGACTTGCGGCCGAGGGCTATCTTGCCGTCTTCGACGTAGTCGTCGAAGCCTTCGGCGATGTCTTCGTCGTCGTGGACTAGGCGGGTTTCTCCCCATTTATCTTTGGGTCGAAGGGAAATCTTGTCTCTGTGTTGTCTGAATTCGTCCTCCCCTTGGTCGTCGGACGCCCAGGCTGCATCTTCGCCATCGTATGCGTTCTCCTCATGTGCTAAGCGTCGCCTCCGCGCCTTCTTTTCCCGTATCTCTGCTTCGGTAGGAATCGCAGATGACGTCGTCTCGAGCGACGCGACGGGCCCAAACTTTGCCGCAATATCTAGCGCGCGAATCTCCTCCTCTTCCTCGGCGGAGATCTTGAGATCTCTAGGTGTTGACGGTGTCGAGTTTCGTAGTTCAGCGATATAATCCTTGCTGTATTCAGTCGGTTTCGCAGATTCCGATACGAGTGGTGAGCGGGCCCGTAGTTGTGCACTCTTCTCCAGTGCTATGCGACTGAGGTTCGCCTTTTTCGGAGTCACAACTGCTGAATCGCTCGATTCCTCGCCATTGTTCGCCTCGTCGCCAGCACCAAACGACATACGTAGTGAAGAGCGCTTCTTTGCTTTACCAAGCGCAGGCCGCTTGACGACTACAAGGCTTAGTTAGCACAGAGCCTTTGCCAGCTTTTTTTTCACGTGGGCCTGGAAAAGTTCGCTGCAAGTTTCCCCAACGTCAGAAAGGCTGGCAATCGCGAGGAAGTTACGACTAACCTGTAGGCTTCTGTACTTCGTTCTGCGAGCTGTTGGTGCTATCGGCGGACTCGTCGTCATCGTAGCTGCCGATTTTGCGCGCTACACGCGTAGAACTGGATCGTTTCATGTTTTGTGAATTCCAGTTGATTTCCAATGCTCTTAAAACCAGTTCAAGTCCATGGAGGATTGGTAGAGGAAGACTAGTGGTCGCGCTCACATGTCGGTGGTGGTGCCTGTGCACGGGCCCTCCGCAAAAAGCCCCAGAGCTCTCCCACCATGTGTAGCACTTGCTCTTGCTTGTCGAACACCACGCGCGACCCCAGCTTTCCCACGACCGACACGAGCGTAATTACCTAGACGCCCACTCGCCGCATACACAGCGACCGAACTCTCATCGCTCTATTACCGCTTCCAACATGCCTCAAGCACAGCCCGAGTTGAAGAAGGTAAGCTTCGAATTGCTGTCCCGAATCCACTCTTACTAACCCGACCAAAGTACTTGGAGAAGCGCGTCCTCGTACAGTTGAACGGTAGTCGCAAAGTTATGGGTATCCTCCGTGGGTACGACGTAAGTCCATCTCAGTATTCCCCCAACCTCACCAAACAAAGCTCACACCGCGCAGGTCTACCTAAACATTGTCCTCGACGAAGCACTTGAGGAGAAGGCTGGCGGTGAAAAGGTGCGCATTGGAATGGTGGTAATTCGCGGAAACGCCGTAGTTATGCTCGAGGTACGAAGTCCCCTGTATCCCTAATAAATACGGTCCATCGCAAGCTAACTAACCTGCTCTAGGCGCTCGACCGTATCAACCAGGACGTCCCTAAGATCGGACGGTAAAGAGTGTGCACACGACCAGAGACGAGGAAGCAAAATTCAGCGGTATACCGGAACAAGTACCGGAGCGGAAAGCAAGATGGCACAGAGTATGGGAAGATTATTCAATGGCGCATCTGGCGTTTGGGGCGCGAAAAGAAACTATTGGGCATGCCTTTACCAGGCTCCCCCTCCTCCCTTTTCTTTTCCATCGCCTGCATCTCTCCTGTTCCGAGCAGTTTACCATTTACAGAGGACAGTGTTTTATTGTTCCTCTTGCGCGACATCTGTGTTGACAGACTGACTGGATTATTTACGCGATATAGTACCCTCGATACGATGACAACCGAGGGACCACCAATAGAGCATTTGAGAAAGCGCAAGTAGGATTCGATTCATATGATCGATAGAGAAAGAAATGAAATCAGTGCTATGGGTTCCAGTCACTTGGCATTTTCAACACCGGAATTAAAGGAAGCAACAGCTTATCAATTGCATACTAAAAACATGACTTCTTTTATTGCATTTTAAATTGATCTACCGACAACAGGACACAGCTAAAGCTTCGCCTACAACTTGGGTTTCTCAGCCTTCTCATTCTCCCTCTTAACCTCCTGCACCAACTCCCACGCAATCTCCGCATACGGCCTCATCATCTGCCCATACTCTTGCGCCTGTGCACTACTCGCCTGCCTCAACGCATACCGCGCCGCAATCCCCTGCATGATAATCGCAAGCCGATACGTACTAAACGCGTTTCCCCAGGTGAAATCCGGGCGCGGATCCCACTCCGCGACCTCAGAGTACCACGTGATAAGCTGCTCACAGGTAGGTAAACCCGGTGTAGCTCCAGGCTGAAACCCTTGGTGAGCACGCCCGATCGACATGGCGGCCTGGCTTGAGGCCGTGATGTACGGCGACATGACGTTGTTGAGGTCAGACAGCGGGTGGCCGATTGTACTCATTTCCCAATCCAGGATGCCGATGACGCGGGGCTCGGTTTTGTGGAAGACGACGTTGTCGATTTTGTAGTCGCCGTGGACAAAGGTTGCGCGGTCTTTTGGTTGGGTGCGGGGGTCGCTGAAGAAGGAGACCATGTCGTCTTGGTGCGGGATTTTACCTACGGGCTCGCCGGTTTCTTTGTCTTTGGCCGAGGCTTGCGAGGCGGAGATTGTGGTGAAGGTTGCGATTTGGCGGGTGTAGAAGCCCGAGGGTTTGCCGTAGGAGGAGAGGTTTACGGAGGAGGGGAGTACGCGGTGGAATTTTGCGAGGGTGGTGATTGCGGAGTGCCACCTTACGGGCAGGTTAGTTAATGTATGGAGTTTGAATGCTTTTTAGCCCTTGAGACGGCATGTGGGACATACATTTTTGTTCGGTCCTCTGGAGTTACATCAGGAAGGACGGGGTCTTCAAAGATGCGGCCGTCGAGAAACTCCATGATGTAGAAGTCGGTGCCGATGACTTTTTCGTCTTGACAGAGACATAGTGCTCGTGGAACGGGGACGTCGGTGTTTTCCAGTGCATGAATGATGCGGTATTCACGATCGACTTTGTGTGCAGTCTGCGAGCAGGCAAGCAGGTTAGCTTTCTTTTTCTTGGTGGTTGGAAGGGGACTAATATGTAGATGTGTATGTACCTTTGATAGCAGCTGGCCCGGAGGCTTCTTCCTCAGCACATACTTCTTTCCAGTCTTATCCGTCAACTGGTATGTCGGATTTGATTGTCCATAGCCAAACTAGCTTCTGTATTAGTAAATCGTGTTCCTCGGGTCAAGCTTCATGCTTGCTCCACTACACACGCACCTGCTTCACATCCAAAGGAACCTTAATTTCAGGAACATGAGCAGCGATGTAGCGCTCCAAGGAGGCTACGTCAATGGGCTGCCGAACATTGCCAGCCATGGTGGGTGCGTCTGGAGAGAGCACATGGTAAGCGCGGGCGCACAGTGATGTAGCTGGCGCGGTTGAGCATCACCGAGCCATGAGCCTCGGCAATTGTTGGACATGGGGGGATCTGGCTCGGCGAGTCGGGAGTGTCTGCATCTCCGCAGCCAGCTGAATCGGGATGAGCATGAGCATTGGAGAAAAACGACTTGTTCAATACAGTTCAACATAAAAAAGGAGTTATGTTTCCTTGAGACGTGGGCCAATGATGTCCGTGACTGATATTCCAAAGGCCTTTTTTTTAAAAAAAAAACCCCCCCGATGGTTGTCATGCCACTCCACATATTCCTTGCCTTAATCTGAAACGGATGCTCGTAATAGCACACACTCTAATAAGTGAAGGCAGATACAGCGTATCCATCTAGCAGCATGATGGAGCATCGCCTGCGAGATTGTCTGCATCCAACGCAGACCGCCAGGGGAACTTGTGGAAGTGCTGGTCCGGGCGACATGACCTCACGTGCCCACGCGTTTGCGCATGTTCGGCACGCAAGGGCCAGCTCGCGGGTCTGTGGGCAAAGGCACGGCTCCCACTTCAACGTACGGTCCACGGTTCAGACGTTTTCCTCCTCCGTGTACAAGGCCAATGTGCTGAGAGTGTCCACGCAGATGGGACTGTAGGTACTTACTTATATCCTTACACCTATCGTCCACCAACCCCTGTAGAGACGGAGCCGCTTTGATTGCAAGCCTGTCTTGCCAAAACCCCTGAGGTGTCACAATTGACAACTGTCGACCCTCTACATGTGTTGAGCGGCCTAGCATGCATCAGAGAGGGCCTGTCTGCTATGCTAAGCGCAACCACCGACTGATGCTGTAGACTTTATTGGATCCGTTTTGGTACCAAGGAGCGACGGTTGGTCATGGGCGGCCCCATCACCCACTAGGTCGGGGTGACGTGATGCGGCCTTGTTGAGCGTGGTATTGCAAAGACATTTCCCCAAGGCGTCAAGCCGCAGAGTTTATAGCCGTCCACATCCAGGGGAACGCGGGACGGGGCGCATAAAGAACAATTAGGAGCGCCATGTCGCCCGAATGGGATGATCGCAATTCATTGGGCAGCTGTCGGTTAAATAATCACGCTCTACCGTCGCCCATGACTTGGCTGTCCAGACCCCTGTAGTCCCCTCTTATCAAAACAAACACCGTCCTTGGTCTGTCCAACCTACCCTACACCAAGGAACAGGTCTACCCTGCGACAAACAACGCCCTGGCATGGCCTATCCCCAGACTCCCCGCCGCCTTGGGGCGCGACCTATGCTACATCCCACTGCCTCATCGCCCAACCTAAACGCCGCCAGCAAAAACATGGCCCGGCAGGCCTCCCTCTCCGCACTCGTAGGCGGCAACTCGCCAGCACACCGCATGGGCGCCGACGGCCAGGACATTGACGTGGGCGACACCGTAGATGTCCCTGGTGGCATGGTCGGCGTTGTCAAGTTTGTCGGCAGCATTCGCGGCAAGCAAGGAGTCTTCGCCGGCGTTGAACTCAACAGAGAATACGCCGCGCGGGGCAAGAATAACGGCTCCGTCGATGGGTACGCATGCCCACCGCTCTTCTGAACACACTCCTGGGGGCATCCACTGATGGCGACACAGCACACAGTACTTTGACACTTCGATCCCCAACTCCGGCATCTTCCTCCCTGTGCATCGCGCCCAAAAGCGGGTCTCAGGAGGCTCATCCGACTTTGCGCCCGAACCAGTCACACCTTCGTATCCCAACTTCAGCCTCTCCACCACCGAAAAACCCAACTTCGGCCACGATGCGCCAAAGTCGCAATTCTCCCAGTCCATCGGACCCGGTGTCCGCGCAACCAGTCCCCAGGGCAAATCCAGCCTGGGCCGCTCCTTTGCTCGCCCTGAATCGCCCTATCGTCAGAAGCAAGGCTTGAGTGCCTCGCCGGCTCGCAGTGGCTCACGCACACCCTCTGGCTTCTCCAAGAGCGCAATCGGCGCACCCCCGCGCTTTGCAAGCCCGGCCCCTCCGCGCTTTGCCAGTCCTGTCCCGAGGGCTCCTCCCCTCCAGAAGCCACGAACACCCGGTCCCCAGCGATCCTACTCGCGGAGCAGCTCTCGCGTTGGCCAGCAAGATATTATTGAAGAAGACACGGAAACGACACCCATCGGCGCAGCGCGCACGAGCAATGATTCCATATCCAGTTACAAACATCGCCGCCCGGGCTCACGGCTGGGCTCCTCTCCCAGCGACGAGGTGCAGCGGCTACAAGCGCTTTTGGATGAACGAGAGAGGCAACTGAAAGAGCAGGCTGCATCACTGAGCGAAATGGAGGCCAGTCTTGCTGAGATTCAGAGTCTGATACCAGAAGATGGAATGGACATGGGGTCGGCGCACGGCAGCAACGAGCCCACCGATGTTGCACAACTACGAGCACTTCTGCGAGAGAAGAACGATAAGATTGCTATGCTCACGTCCGAGTTTGACGCTCATCGCTCTGACTTCCGAAGCACCATTGACACTCTCGAACTAGCCAGTACCGAAACTGAGCGAGTATACGAAAAAAAGGTCGAGGAGCTGACGGAAGAACTGCGAGAATACCAGTCTCGTACTGAAGACGTTGAGACCGTTGCTATGCAGCTGAAGCAACTCGAGGAGCTTGTCCAGGAGCTTGAAGAAGGCCTGGAAGATGCGCGCCGAGGCGAGGCAGAAGCTCGAGGCGAAGTGGAGTTCCTCAGGGGTGAAGTGGAGCGTGGCCGATCAGAGCTTCGTCGCGAGCGAGAGAAGGCCGCTGCAGCTCTCAAGGGCGCAGGTGCCATGGTCGATACGCCTCAAAGCCCAAGTCAAAGAGAGGTAGAGCAACGTGACGATGAAATCCGAGGACTCAAAGCCATTATCCATTCCTTGAGTTCTGGTGGGGACGAGCGTGTACGTTCGCCTCTATCGCCACAAGGCCCTGCTGTGGACGCTGAAGAGCTTGCACAAGCAAAGGCAGACGCACAGCGCCTGGAGCGCGAAAAGGAAGAGCTTCGTGGTCTTGTGGAACGCAAGGCTTACCGAGAAGAAGAACTAGAGCGTGAGATTGAAAAGTTGAAGAGCCAGCTCGGTCTTGCCGAGCAACGTGACAGCATGATTAGCAATGGTGTGTCTGAGGCCACAGCAGTGCAGAAGAAGCCTGGGGAGCGTGACTCCAAAGACACAATCATGAACTGGAAGGACTCGTCACAGCGCAACACTCCTCCCGCTCTTGCAATAATGCCCGAGTCCGACGGCCGCTCATCTGTCAACAGCAGCCATCTCTGGTGCGAGATCTGCGAGACTGGCGGCCACGATATCCTCAACTGCTCCGCCATGGGCGGCGACGCATCCACTTACTCCCGCACAAACGACAGCATCCACGGCAAAGACGGCGTCATCGAAGGTCTCCGCGGCCTCTCTGTCTCCGACCGCTCCCTCTCCGAGCGCCGCCCATCCATCCTCACCCCATCCAAGACCCCCGGTAGCGCCCCAACCGCTCCTCTCCCCAACCCTTCCCTCACCGCGTCCAACTCCGACCTCGTTCCCCCCAAGGGCGCCGCCATTGCCGACCCCGACAAATGGTGCGCCCTATGCGAAAGCGAGGGTCACGATGTTACGGCCTGCCCTAACGAAGATGCTTTCTAAGTAAAAGCCCTGAACCTCATGCCGACTTATGCCAACCAAAAAGAAACCTACGTCCCTTGATGAAGAATTCGACGTCGAAGTTGAATAGTATACATAACGCAGGGCGTGTAATCAATCACAGAGACCTCAGTAAAAGAAAGAAAGAAACAAAGGATAAAAGAAATGCTCGCACGACATCGCTCCTCCCCCCCTCCCCATCTCACCCCCAAAAATGCACGCATTTTGGGACAAGAGAAAAGTTGTAGAAAGAAAGAAGATTGTTCCAAAGGCACACACTCACATATTCTCATATCCATCCACCCACCCTCCCTCCCTCCCTCCGTTACCAACGTACCCGTCTTCGCATTTGGTTTTACGTTCGTCTTTCTTTGTTTCAAAGAGCGCATGATATCCCCATCCCATCTCCCTCCTCAATCTTGATCTTTTTTTTGGCATTTTTGGGGAGGTTCTTTCTTTCTTTCTCTCCTCACACTTTGGGTTTTTCTTGCCTTGTGCTTGTACTGCCTGGCAACCCCACCCCCCTAAAACACGACAAGTGTTATGTAGTAGCTTTTTTTTATATATGTAGTCGAACTTATTTTATTCTATTTTCACCTCATTTTTTTAATCTTTTTTTCTCTCTCCCTCTCTTTCAAGTGGAATCGACGAGAGGTACTAATGCTTATTGTTTAATGTGTAATTTTTCTCGAGTCCAAGACTGGTTACGGTTTGTTCAAATGGACAGAGGGATGTGCGAAACAAGACAGAGAGACTTTGCTTTTTCTTCGTACATTTTGTGTGCGTATGTATGTGTGTACATGGATACCAACAATAAACACATGTACGTAACTCTGATTCAAAGAATTTTAACCGGATATCAAACGCCAATTTTTAAAAAACAACAACAACCCTTATGCCATATATATGCAACCATCTCAAGCCCTCTTCCCAGACTTATGCTTCTTACTCTTCTTCCCGGCACTCTCCTTGAACTTCTCCGCCTCCTTATACGCCTCCTCGACCGCCTCCCCTACTTTCCGCTTCTTCTCGCCCGTCTTGACAGACACCGTCATGCTACCCGCTGCGCCCTTCTTCGTCGCGTTGCTGATAGCGCGCTCGGCGTCTTCCCAGTCGGTGGCTCCAGTGCCGATTTCGTATCTGTTGGTTGTACAAATTAGCCCGAGCAATGAAAATTGGTAGAATAAGGGAAACTTACTTGTGCAAAGGCAAAGCATCAATCATACTCCTCTGTCTCTCTCTATCCTCTGCAAGAAACTCTTCTCCGCCCTCTTTCAACTCCTCTTCCAAGTTCTTCTCCAGCGGCTTAAAGCGGCCTGCATCTCCATCTGCCGCTCCCGCATTATCTTCAATGTCCATAGCCTCAGGCATGGTTTCCTGAACAGCGCCTTCAACAATGCTGCGGAAGGCGGTAGCGGCTTTGCGGATAATCTTGACGAACATGGCCATGAGTTGACTTGCGTTTGCATCTTTGAGTTCTTTTTCTACATCGGAGAATTCTTTGCGCTGGAGGCCGATGGCGAGGAGGAGGGATTTTTGGATGCCGGTGAGTTTGACCGTGTCTTTGAGACGGCCGGTGAAGTAGAGGTGGGCGATGGAGGGGAGCATGTCGAGGATGACGTGGTAGTCTAGCATGTTGTTTGCGTAGGATTCCAGGCGCTTGAGGTCGAAGGGGGTGAAGAGGGCGTCGAGTTCGGCTTTGGTGATGGGTTTCGCGGCGAGGTCGACGTCGAGTTTGGAGCCTGCTGAGGCGGACTCTTCTATCGAGAGAGATGTTGTGGATGGGAATGTGCGGAATTGATAAGAGAGGAGGGAGAGGAAGCGCTTCTGGAAGTCCTTGGCAAAGGCTGCTACCCAGCTTCCATCTGACGAGGTAGTCTCGAGCGAGCGTAGCATGATACATGTGTGCTCTCCAGTCAGATCGTTGGGTGTTTGCCGAAGGTACACTGGCACAAAGGATGCGCGTTTCCAGAACTTATGCAACTGCGACGTGAGACCGTATGATACACCAACGTAGTCAAGCCTGGGTGACTTCAACTCCTGTAACCGAGCGAACAACGGCGGCATCTCGCTTGCCTCCCTAACCTTGACGTTATCCTTGAGAAGTGATGCATCTTCCAAATCTTCCTCTGTGACTCTTCGCATCTGCTCTACCTCTTGAGGTTCCGTCTCGGACAAGCTTGCGAGCTTGCCATCGTAGAAATCAACCAGGAGTTGCAGGGCCTTTGATCCGTATCCCATGTTGACGTATTCTGGGTTTGTTGCTATCCGCACCACACGGGCACCCGACAGACTTGCAAAGTTCTCATCCTGGAATTGCTGAGACACAATCCATGGGATCAAGTCACCGCCGGCACGCTGCCCTCTGCTCAAACTGTTCAGCACACTTTCCCTGCTAATCTGACCTTCCAACGCCACTTGAATGACACAAAGAGGCTCAGGAAGCTTGTTGTCCTCTGCAGGTCCGGTAAGGACGAACAGGTGGTGCGCTGGCGCATCGGACATGAGCTGCAAATCGTTGGGTGTGTTCTTGTAGTGACTGGCAACATAGAGCGCCATCATCTTCTGCAAGAACTTTTCTGCAGCTGGATTGTAAGAGAAAAGTGTATCGCGATTTACGTGGAGGAGCTGGCACTTGTCTGGGTGAGGGCATCCTGCTGTGGCTACTTTTCGGGGCAGGGTTGCATCGAGACACAAGAGGTCGTTCATCCAGCGTTCGACAGAGTCGCCTGGAGCGTATCGAATTGGCTCTGAAAGCGTGATTTCTCGCAACGAGCGGCCTGTCATCGTAGTCTCTGAAGCATCCTTTGTCTCCTTTCCTGTTGAGCGATCTACGACGTGTGTCGAGCCATTGGAACCCTTGCCTCGTGATTGCTCGCGAAGTTGCTGTATGAGCTTCAGAGACAGTGATCGACCAGTACCCTCGTAACCATTGATTGTCGAGGCCATGAAGACGAGGTAAGGGCCCATGAGTTTCCGTACCAAGGGTAGAGGAATAGCTGCAGCTTCGTCAATAACCAACAACTCCGCTTGGCCAAGAACATGCGAATCTTCGGGCTTGATGTATTGAATCACTTGTCGGTGCTGGCGGTGTAACTCGATCCTTACAATCGCCTTGTTCTGATCCGGCTGAGTGGACTGCATAATCGTATAGTCCTGGTGATCGACATAGTTGAGCGAGTCAAAGCCCTTAAGGATGAATTCGAATAGCGTCTTCAAGTTCTCTGGACTTGGCGATGTGATGTAGATGTTGCTGTAGCCGTGTGCGACCGCTGCTGCTACAGCCACACCCAGAGCTGCTGATTTACCTCGACCACGCGCTGCTGTCAGTGTAACCGTGCTTCGCAGAGTTTTCTCCACAATCGCCTCTACAAACGTGAGGAGGGCCTTTGCCTGGTCCACAGTCTTTGCTAGCTTGACCAGGTCTCCAGTGGGAGGCGAGTCCGCTAGGGATTCTTTAATCTCCGCCAATTCCTTCGCCTTTGGTGTCTTGCCTTCCAATTCTGGGTCTGGTGGCGGTAATTGCTTGACGTGCTTTCCACCTGAAATCGGAAGCACATTCAGTTCATCGTCGACAACCAAGCAGCTGTCGCACTTTCCAAGTGACAGTAGGAAACGTTCATTGAAGCGCGCAACGACATCGCTATGCGCCTCTGTTCGGTATCTGGAGTGGATATCCATGGACATGGTATACAGCTGCTTCAAGCTGCTCATGCCCTTCAACAAGAGTATAACCAGTCCTCCACCCTCAACTGTCTCTATCGTCCGCGCAAGGAGATTGGGCGTAAGCGCTTCGAAATCCTGGAGGATACACATGCCGTATGTGTTACCCAAAATCTTTTCCGTCTCTTTGTAGTAGACATATCGAATGTTCTGCGTCGAGATAAATAACTCGAATGGATCCTCGGTGTCGACATCACGTATGCCCCGCTTGATCTCGTTCTTGATCTTCTTTTCGCGCTTCTTGCGGTGACTGGAAAATCCCAGTAGCTTGTTCTTGTATGCCCACAGCACAGACTTGTTCAGCTTAACGTCGACGTTGAGCAAAATGTGGTAGAGATTGACAATGACGTCCTTTTGGCGGTCGCCAACAACGACGAAGAAACTACGCTTCTTCTCTTGTGCGCCATTTCGAATCAGCGCCGGAATGCGGGAGTCGATGGCTTTCTTCGGCATCTTGAGAGCTGCGCAGGCGGCGGCGCCTCCTCTTCCGTGTTCGAATGTGTCTGGATGGCGCAGGCAATTGTATAACACCAAACGAGTCGCAAGGTGCTCTTGGGTGAATGACAAGGGAGTGACACCTGCTGCTGGTGTTGTGGTGGGATTGGCGGCGCGTGGGAGCAAAAGTTCTGGCCGCCGAGGAAGCTTCAAAGGTTCCGAGAAAATAATTGTTATCGATAACGAAGTCGCGCTAGCACTACATCATCCAAAGCGCGCACATTTGGTCCAATCAAAGCCTTTTACTAAACTCGTCATTCAAAAGTTGGGATGTATGCTTATTCCCAGTAGTTGAACTATGGAATGCCTTGAACTATTTCAATCTGGTGTCTTTATGCAATCATCTTACACCCTCTTGCTCGCCTTTTCGCTCTCCGTGTACTTCTCCAATCCCACATGCTCATTGATCCAATCAAATACAACCTCATGCCACATCAGACTGTTCTCTGGCTTAAGCACCCAATGGTTCTCGTCTGGGAAGGTCAAGAATTGGCTCTCAATCCCTTTGCTCTGCAACACATTGAATGCTGCCAACCCCTCACTAATCGTCAGTCTGTAATCCAACTCGCTGTGGATGATAAGCTGCGGTGTAGCCCAGTCCTTCGTAAACCTGCGTAGCATGAATTAGTAACGATTTTAATTTGAGTATAGTTGGGTAAACGTACTTGCTTGGATCCCACTTATCCCAGCCGTCAGGGTTACCCCAGAGGGTGCCTTTGAGATCGTGGAAGGGGAAGTAGAGTTCTTCAGAAGACATCTGGCCGTGCATGCTGAAGACGCCGTCGTGAGTTACAAGGGCTTTGAACTTGCGGCCTAGATCGTGGCCTTGTATCCAGTTCATCATGTAACCGCCGTATGAAGCACCAAGAGCAACAGTGCGATCTGTGTCGACATAGCTGACATTGGACTTGATGTATTCGAATCCCAACTCGAGGTCTTGGTAGGGCAGTCCACCCCACTGGCCTTGGATGGCATCAGTAAAGGCTTGGCCGTAGCTCGTGCTACCCGTGGGGTTTGGACAGATGACGACGTAGCCTTGCTCAGCAAATACAGCAGGATTCCATCGTGTGCTCCATCCGTCGGTCCACGCGCCTTGTGGCCCACCGTGGACCAGGTATGCCAGTGGATACTTCTCTTTGGATGAAAAGTTACTGGGCTTTATGACCCAAGCATGGACCTTGGTATCCTTAGCCGCGCCGTCCCAGTGAATCTCGTCGATTTGATGACGCGATAATCCAAACATGGAGCCTGAGCGTGTATTGGAAGAAATGTACTTGGTAGTGAGATTGTCGGGATCCGAGTCGTACGGTCGGTCATCAATAGGCAGATTGTATGTATCCACGCTATTGGGACGAGTGCTTAGGGGTACTAGCGAGTACAAAGAGTTCTCGATCAGGCTAGTAGAAGTGACAAATAAATCGCCATTGTTGAGGACCTGGGCACCGCCAATAGTTCCACCTCTCACAAGAAGTGAGGGGAGAGGTTCTTTCTCACTACCTGGCTTGGGAGGACCAGCACTGTACAGATTCCCACGACCGTGCGCCTCCGCTGTGAAGTAGAGGTGCCAATCATCAGGACTCCAAGCTATCGATTGCGGACTTTGATCCCATTTGCCCTTGCCATCTTCCGAAGCGTAAAGAAGAGTAACTCGTGATGGATCCTTGTAATCGTGGATGATGAATGCTTGGTTCTTGTCTGACTCGTATCCATCAGTCTTCATGGACAAGAATGCAATCATTTTGCCAGAGTTTGACCAGACTGGAGAAGTGCTCGCGCCTTCGAAACCTTCAATCGTAGTCTTTTTGATTTCAGGAATGTCCTTTGAATGCAAGTCATCCCAGAATCCTTCGGCTCCGGAAACATAAATGTTGGTCTTGGTATGGGTAGCTGGGTTGAGATCAGGGTCTTTCGAGGTAAAAACAAGACCATTCTTCGAGATGTCAAAGTGATCTTTGCCTCCAAATGGCTCAATTGGGCTCTCGAAAGAGGTACCCTTGAGTGCGTTCTTGAACGGCTGCTCCAACTTCAGAACTGTTGAGCTTTCCGATTTCTCCACGCTCAACTTGCCAAGCCATATTGCGTTGCGGTTCTCAGTCACATAATGATCCCAGTGGCGGACGAAGCCAGATTTGTACAGCTTTCCTGATGTATGCGACTTTTCAACCTTTTCTGGATTGAACAGCGTACCATCTGGTTTTGCCTTACCGACAAGTGCCAGCGCATATGTGCCATTGCCGAGTGGGTAGGTCTTGGAATCGCTGACTGGGCCTTCTAAAGTACCAGCTGTGTATTTACTAGTAGCAGGTTAATAATCCAATTATCAGAACGTAGGATCATGAAATGCAATACATACTTTTTCTCAAAGTTCTCTGGTGACCCGATGACCAGCTCTGTTGTGCCATCTTCATTCGACTTCAACAAAAGCACCGTCTCATCGTCAAGCCACGTAGGCTCGCTGAAAGCCTTGTCATCCGTCACCAGGCTAGTCTGTTGACTTTCAACGTCCAAAAGACGAATCTCAGATTTCTTTTCGTGCTCAGAGAAAGAATAAGTCGACACAGAATACAGAATCTTTGATGCATCCGAGTTTGGAGAGCCTTGAGATCTCCGAGGTGCTTCAAGGAGCACCTTGGGCGTAAACTTGGCGGCTCTGATCGTCATGATGATGGTGGCCTGCGAAAATCAGGCGCCTGCTTAAGATGTCAGTTTGCAAGATTATGAAATGAATAAAAAAGATGGTTAATCTTTGTGTTATCGAGTGCTCGTGTCCAGCTTCGTGGCTAGGTCAATGATGCTATCCCAACAAGCAATATGCAAGGATGCAGACCGCCACTTGGAGATGTCCTTGCCTTTGACATAGCAATACCAGAAGTGCCACTTACTAAGAGAGATGTTCTTTCAAATGCCGAAATTGCTTGCAAGAACAAGAACGACAAGTAAACAAATGTGAAAGAGCACCGTGGTAGACGTGGTACGTGGAACTAGGCGGATGTGGTTGGCCGACCGACCCCTCACGCCAGCCACCCACAGCGGCTAGCGGCGCCTTTGTGTCATCACTCACCGATATTGCGCTACCCCGCTCGGGATCGAAGATGCTGCCTGTACAACCAAGGGTCCCGAACACCACAAGCTGCGTTACTTTCAGCATCTTGCCATCGTTATAAATAACGGAATTTGAAAAAACACTAAAATTCAGTCCAAGGACATCAAGTCCTGTGGCGCAGTGGTAGCGCGCCGTTCTTATAAGATTCGTCAGACTCTTATGACCTCATCCAAGGTTATGCGGATGCCGTGGGTTCGAAGTAGGTTTCTCCCGCAAGAAATCAGTTTGATTTTCTTTACTAACAGCTCTTCCAGCCCCACCAGGACTATATCTCCTTCCTTTTTTTTGCCCCATTTCTACCCACGAAGTTGGGTAGACGTTTTGCCTTTTGCTTCTGCAGACATACGTACATACATACATTCATGCGTTAATTTTTAGAATCATACTGCTCTTACGCAATTAGCGATATACACTATATTTGGTACACACTCCAAAAAGAACCACAACACCAATAAATATGATCAAACGTTTGACGTGAAGTTTCCATCCAACGTCTCAAGATAGCACTTCACTTACACACCAGCAAGAACAATAGTAAGAATAAGAATACGTATGATTCATTACCAACCATTCATAAAAATAAACCAAGTGGAGGATATCTAGAACATGAAAAGGACCGCTCAAAAGAAGAAAAGAAAAAGAAACGCACGTTGCTATACAAAAGAAGTCGCCCCATCATACGCCCTAGGTCTGTACACCCCAAGCCAACACCCTTCCCTCCCCCCCCAAAAATACGTGTATTCATAAGAAGAGAGAAAGTCCAATCATAACATCATTATCCATCCAAATTTACTCTTACTCCCGAATAAAGCCGGAGTAGAGAAACTCGGAATCGTATTAGTAAAAAAAAAACAGCAGCTCACGACTTCCAAATCTGCCACTTCTTCTTCTGCTTCGGAACAACAAAGCTATCTTGACTCATCTGCTCCCCTTGCTGCTGCTGCTCCGCGAACCCTGTCTCTTCCTCTGTAGCACTATCAAAGCTATCTTCGTCATCGTCAGATGGCGGACCAGTGCCGAGATACCTATTTGCGGTGCCGACGCTGCCGTTGCGTTGCGGGTATGTAGGATACGTAGCGGTTGTACGGTCGTAGCCGCCGCGGGAGGGCTGGGCGGCGTAGTCTGCGCGTTGGACAGGTTTTTCGGTGTATTCGGGGTCGATTACCTGGCGGGGGGCCATGGCTGGGTGGCTTTGGCCGTCGCGGCCGCCGCTGCTGAAGTAGTTGCCGCCGGCGGTGTCTTGTCGGGGTTGGAGACCTTGGCCGTCTCGGGCGTAGGGGGAACCAGGACCTGCGCCGACGATTGCGGGATGGGGTGGGTAGGATTCGCGCTTGGCTCGCTTTTGCGATTGCGTTGCTGTGAGGCCGTATGGGCTTTGGCCTCCTGTAGCTCCTACTGGTCTCCGTTTCACCCTCAGGGGATCATCCGGGTGTGTTGCTGGTAGTTGTGACTTGTGGGAAGAGTTGCTATATGTAGGCTGTATGCGAGTGGAAGCAGAGCGAGATGGAAGTGCAGTCGCTTGGGCAGCAGTTTTCATCTCTTGAGGATGCTGAGGGGCGCTCGCATTCCTCTTCGCAGCGACACTGTCCCAAGCAAAGGCTCTAGCACCGGCATTCGGCCCTGTGTCTAGACTTCGACGTCCTTGGATTCGAGCTGCAGGATTGTGAACGGCTCCATCGGACTGAGCTGGGCCTGCTGTCCGGGCTGAATTGATATGGAAACCAGAGCTGAGGAGATCGTTACGGGGGACAGTGGTAGTAGCGGCAGCGCCAGTAGCAGCAGAGGCTGGCGCCATGGCTGGAGTTGGTATTGCAGGCGTGGTAGGAGCAGAGGCAGACCCGCGTCCATTACGTGGACCAATGCCTGGAATTACTACCTTGGGCCCGACTTTGTACTGTTTCCGTTTGCGTTCTTCCTCATCTTCACTAGAAATCTCGCCGAGCTCGCTTCCGCTTTCGCTACCTGAGATGGAGTTACCATCTTCACCGATTGTAGTCTTGCGTTTTCCACCAAAGGCGCGGAAGAAGCCTCGAGGTTTACGGGGCTCCTTTTCCTCGACACCAGACTCAGTTTCGACATAATCGAGAGCTGGCACAAGTAGTCGATACGGTGTTGTGATACCTGCCGGGTCGTGCTGTGAAACCTCGACATTGAGGCAAATATCAAGACCACCTTCGAGGTTGATAAACTCCTGCTTTTTCACGCTCTTCCTGCTCAGTACGCTAGGGCGACGGTGGAAATTGGACGGCCGGTCCTGAGATTGGCTGCGGCGACCTCGAGGCGTTGTGCTTTCCGAGGTGCCCGGGCGGTCGCCATCCATTGAGGGTCGACGACGGAATAGCGAGGATAAAGAATTGCGACGAGGATGAGCAGGCCTCTCTGGCTCCGAACGATCAGGTGAAAACGAAGATTTCAGTTGATGGTGGCCCACCTGCTGGTCATCGGCAGCTGCATAAGCCGGGTTGTTGCGATATGATACAGGAGGACCCTGACGCCGTGCAGAAGGCCTTGTTTGCTGTCCACTCAGCCTTCTCACCAGCTGACCAGGTGCAAAATCAGCGAACGATCTTCCCGCACCATGACTATCTGGGGTGACAGGCGGTGATGGTGTCTGTGACGGTGTAGATCCTGGCTTGTATTCTCGAATGCTACACCAATTTCGGTGAGGGAGGAGATGATTGTTGTTTCTCTTTTTCCCGTCCACACCATGGGTGAATAGTGGGATCATGTCTTCATCCGTGTCCGAGTCTAGATGATGTATCTTGTTGCGTTTGTTGATGATATCTGCCATCATATCGGGAGGCGGAGTGTTGACTATGGCCGAGGAAATGACATTTGGCATGTACCTGTGATCCTTGTCCTTTGGTACGTTGAGCTTCTTGTTACTGTAGAATTGACCAACCGCTGCCAGATGGACATCGCCACCAAGAATTGTGACACGCACAGATTTGGTGGAGGCAATGTGTTGCAGCTCACGAATGAACCAGTTGCGTTCCTCCTTGTGGTGCTTTGCAGTCCAGTGATCATCCAAGTCATCAAGAATCTCCACGCCGCCGTCAAACTTGTTCACAAAGTTACCCAGCATGCCAGTGCGACCAAGAGCCTTGATGGGATCCATGAGCCTACTAGTCAGGATATTCTCGAGGAAGTTCAATCGAGGGTAGGCAATGGGCACACCAAGGAGTACGATCAAGTGTTTAGTCTCGCCCTTGACTATCTCATCCTCAAGACGGTCAAAGATGATGTCATATGAATCCTCGGTAAGTATCTCATCCCGCTGCCGCTCTGTACGGCAGTCAAGACCAAGAAAGGCCACAGGCCTACCAAGTCGCATAAAGACACTTCTGGATCGTTCTTTGATGTAAGGACCGGGGTTTTTGCCAAGCACCCATGAAGGCTCTGTCTTTTCTGTCTCTGCGGGCACAGATTGGTGCTGGAAGAGCATATAGTACTTGAACGCAACAGCGCCGACTCCTGTGAAAACTGGAGTTTGCATGAAGTGGTGGGGATATGAACCAAAGCCCTAAGTAACCAATTTAGATAGCATTCAGATATTATTGCGGGACCAAACTTACGTCGATAATGTCATGATCATCCCAGATGTTGATCATAGGAATCTGTGAATTGGCCAAGCCAAACATACCCTGGGAAAACCACATCGCGTACCGATCTAGGTAAAACTGCTCAAGCTCATTCTGCATCTCCTCGGAAAATGGTTGATGATGCTTGTGTAGAGGATTTCTGTTTTCGGTCCATTGCCTGAACAAGGTTGTCTCCCTCATAGCAGCATCGTTGTAGATTTGATCGCCCCCACCAATCATTACATGAAACGGGCGGGTCTGATGGGTATTGAGGACGTCGCGCCACATGGGATCTGGACCACAGAACTCATCGGGGTCGACACTAGCAGAAAACCCGTTGCAGCTGTGGAACATGATGTTCATGGATTCCCCCTTGGCAGGGACCCAGAACCCAATAGCCGGACCCTGGTTGATCTTGTAGGCGATGCGTGTTTGGCTAGTCCCGAGTTCGACTTCAATGTTGAAGCGCCAGAAAGTTACACCCCGCTCAGCGTGCAGACGAATACCAGGGAAGTCGCGTACTTTGCCTAGCTTCTCGCCATCTCTCTTATGGATGCGAGTGGACTTGGCAGATCCGTTAGCAGTGCTCCGAGTCTTGGAGAATAGCCCCGTGCTGTTTTCGACGCGCGATAGGTCCACGTCTTCGACAATCTCATCAATAGGCCTGACGAATAGCGTCTTGCCGGTGCGCGACACTTTGGCCTGGCCTTCGATAGGGTCAATATATGATGGATCAAGCTGGTCATGGTCTACCTCCTCCGGTGGTGGAGGCAGGATATCCATTGGCTGTTTGAACAGTCGTAACGTCGGTGGCTTGGAATAGGACGAGGACGCGTCAACAGTCACAATCATGACACTGCCTCGCCATATCTCCCGCTCTTGACCTGGTTTGCTGCGGTCTTTGCGAAGACCCGTGTAGCGTAGGAGCGGTCCACACTTGAGGTACAACGGTGGATTAAAGCTGGTTGGCAAATGTG